CCTTTCTCATTAACATTTATAAAAATTCCCCTGTATCCTACCTAGCCCAACTACTTACCAAAAAGGAACAGGTCTCAAATGAACTACACCAAAAGTTTTTTGCATAAAACAAATATCACCGGCATTCTTTACCTTTCGTTTTTATTATTATTTCCTTCTGCGTGGGGAACAGTGTACATTTTTAACTGAAATGTAAGCATATATGCTTACACAAGTTATATAAATACAAATATCCACCGTATCCACAGCCAGAGACTTAGCTGTCGTCACTGCAGACGTCAAGCCCGGACTCCAGTGTCGAGAGGCAGCACAACGAGCATCAAGAGCCTTACACTAGCTGAGACGTGCGGTGAGTTCAAGGAAACCCGAAGTCTTGCTACCTCTCTACAAGACCGCATCTCGAGTACTGCGTCCAGGTTTGGAGCCCGTTCCTAATCCAGGACATAAAGACGTTGGATTCAGTCCAACGTCGCTTCTTCAAGTGGTTTGTGGGCTTTAAACATTTCTGTTATGAGAGGCGTCTGGAAACCCTAAATATCTCGTTGAGAAGGCCCAGGCGGCATGGAGACTTGCTTGAGGCCTACAAAATCCTGAAAGGCTTCATGGACGTACCGGAGGGATCGCTGCTCAAGCTCAGTGAAGCAATAAACCCGAGAGGGCACACTCTAAAACTAGTTAAAGATTTACTGAGGACCCGCCTGAGAGCGTCGTTTTCGTGGCTAGAGTTGTGAATGATTGGAGTAGGCTAGCGAATGAAGTCATTGCTGCCTGTTGTGTCCCAAATTGAGTAGGAACGATCAGCGTGTAGGAAGGCAGACAGGCAGGCAGGCCGACTCCGGCTCACACGTCGCAGTCCATGCGAATGCCGTCAAGCCAAGATTCAAACAGTCAGTCAATCGATCAACCGATCAATGGATCAGTCAATTCGGTCACAGGCATGTATGAGCATAAATCAGTCAGTTGTAAGCTACAACATCACCTCTCCTTCCACAAATTAGTTGGAAATAAGTATTTCAGGAAACAAAGAAACAACAAATCATAAAGTAGTGATGACTTGCGTAGGTAAAACAATGTCTTCCGGATCCGAGCAGAAGAATGTTGCATTTTTCCTAACCTCCGAAGTGCAGTCCCGGAATGATACCGGTTTCCATAGTCAGTAATAAATTGAGACGGGCAAGGTTTGGGTGGCATAATTCTGAGAAGCAACTCATAAACCCGTTTTTTGATCACTCTCGGTCTACTCACGCTTTCAATTTTCAAGGGTGAAACGAATCTACACTCACCCCTCTCCTTTTTAATCTGATGAATCCTTCCTGTCTGAAGGGTTTCCTGCTATCTTCTGGCACGATTATGTGAATCTTGACGCGGGCACACATTGTGGGTTTCCTCTGTTTTCTTGGTCTCTATAAACGGAACCAACGCATTCTGTTTTGCACGTATTTCGGTGCCGGGAGTCGAATCAAGTGGCAAATGTTGACTACCTTCTTGGGGAGACTTTTGATAGGCATTTTTCTGCACCATGGAACGCGAAATACGACCGTCGCTGCCACTTGAATCAATCTTGCACACGTTCTCAGCAATTTTTCGGTTTTCCACCGACTGATTTATCAGGTTCGACGTTGTTGTGAGTTGTTCGTTAACCAAAGGTATAACCGAGACCTTTTGAGTTTGTAACTGGGAGATCTTATGAAGTTCACTTTTGTGTACAATCGACTGCACGACATGTGTAGTAGTGGAAGGCAATGAAGGTTCAAGGGATGCAATACTTGTTCGAGAGCAGTGGGGCTGAACACTAAATGTACCATCAGAGGTTTTTGCAGGGGCCTGCGGTACACTCGAAGAGCATTCGAATTCGTGTATGAAACGAGCCCGAGTATCTGTCCAATGTAGCGATGACATCCTTCAATGATTTGTCATCCAAATCCACCCGGTCAAAGAGTAGCCTGCCTTCGGTACCGAGGTAGAGTCGTAGTAATTTAACGCACAATTCATTTGTAAGTTTCAGTGAAGGATTGGATGCTCGCAAAACTACAGCGTAATCCACGAACGTGGTCTCCCATGTATTCCAAGCCACATCGGATGGTTTGGGAGCAGGGTCATTCCAAAATTGATAAATGGTAAACGGTAAAACAAACATTTTGCAGGTTCAGTGGCCGCAACGCCAAATGTTGTACTCCAAATTAAGTAGGTAAATGAACACAACTAATGAAACAGTAAGTTTATTGTAAACAGCAAATATGTAGCCGGTGCACAAGTTCAGTTCAGTTCAGTTTAAACAACCATTAACCACGCATATTCGTGCGCCCGTTTTGGTTGCTGTCTTTTGGCTGCCCATTTAGATGAAGAATAGGAGAAGAAAGGAGACTTGAAAGTGCATTCGAGAAGAAAATGGAGAAGTTCAGGGGTCTAAGGTTGCAAAGAAATCGAGAAGATGCACGAACGCCACTGGTTACGACACCCAGCCATATCACTCAGTGTCTCTAACCATCGGTTACGATCATCCCGAGGTCCCCAGTCAGGGAGCCTAACAAGACCTATGTAACCCAGTCTCCTGGTTAGGGTTTTCATACCCTCGTATCAGGTCTTAGCTTGACCACCTTTGGCTTTTTTCCACTCGGTGTCTGCTTCGGCGAGCATCGCAGTGACACGAACGCTGTGGCATTCTTGTATTCATTTTTACTTATCAGAATTCTTAAACAGGTGTGTATGGTCGGTAAGATCGTATGCGTTGTTTGTTGACTTTACTTAATTACTTTACTTTTAACAACTGGCTCCTTGGAAAGAATAAACCGGCTGCATTAATGTCTGATTGCCGCCGTAGCAGACATGATCATGAAGTTCCTTGGGAGTTTGTTACGAGAGACGCCCCCAGCATCACCCGGCGTTTGTCATTTTGAGGGCGCGCCTCTAGTCTTTGCACAACCAAGTGCGATCGGAAAGACAGCAAAAAGTAGTTCCTCGCCTCGAAAGTGAGGAACCAGTGACTTTATTTTTAAAAGGTCAGTCACATCGACCTTATTTTGTTAGCCGTGGAGATCGACTTTGTTTTCCTTTCCCGAAATAGATGTCCACTCCCTATTCACCTTTCGCTCTCCTGATTACACTGTGATCTTGACAGTGATCGGTGAAACTCGCTTCACTGTGTTGCACAGTACCATGATGATACTCTGAGTGCTTATTTTTACAGCTCGTGAAATGTCAATCGATCTCCCAGAAGCCAAACCAGATACCATGGAGGAGATATTCTCCGACAAATTTCAATACATTAACCTGGAACACTACAATATTTATCACTTTGAGGAACTAGTTATCGAAGGTCGACGTTATCAGTTCCGATTGTCATCCAAAGAAGATCTCATGACGGTGGTCACTCATATCGCTGGACGAGCTGTTCTTCTAGTCTCCGTTTGGACCAATATGGATTACGAGAAACGTTTAAAAGAAATTCATCAGTACATAATGGATTTGGAGCGTTCAGGCACAGTGCCTGCTGATTTTCGAAGTAAGTGGAAGCTCTTATTGTTTGTTGACTCAGAATTCATGTAGACGAAAGGTAAAATTCCTACTTTCCAGAATCAGTCTTATTCTGTCTCAATTAAGTATACTAAAACAGAAAGTTTATCTTACTAAACGCTTTCTTTTTTTACCGAACTACACATTTTAATTATGTAGCGCGTTAAGATTCCTTTCCTCATGGTGTAATTCGACTGTCTGATTTTTTTAAATTACGCATTATGTGGGTCGCAGTAAAAGAGGAAACCCCATTGGCAAATAGCGTATTGTAGAAAAGCTTGCAACTTACCTGGATCTTCACTTAGTAGCACAATGTTGTCTGCATACTCTGTACCATGCAGTCTGCCATCTGGGAGTAAATCGGTGCCCGCATCCTCGCACGAGGATAGGGCTGTTTCCATAATGAAACCACGTAAGATCCAGTTTATTGATTCTGCGTTTAAGGAGTACAAAATTGTAAGTTGGGGGAAAGACAAAAAAGTGAGAGGGTGTTTTACAGCTTGGCAGTTTGGGGGAAAAAAGGAGACGACATCTAGGAAATGAAATCTGATGAGGATGACTAGGTTCCTGTGTGTGGGATGATCGGTTAAAAGTTGCAGGAAGAGAAACTGCCGAGGCGAGTTCCGAAGAACAAAAACCAAAGTACTAACGCTAGAGCAAGGATAATGAAGCAGCTTCCCGACGATGGGCTAGTGACTGCAGGCTGGATATTAGAGAAGGATCCTCGATTAGCCAGATGGCCTTTCGTTAAACATGCGCAATAAGGGAAATAGAAAAAAACGAAGCCCCTCTCCGCACGTGACTGCAGTACTCAAGAGCAGCATTGTATAGTAGAGGAAGATGGACTGGGGTGAAAAAACGTCTGGCGCAAAATAAAAAGCCGATCTTGTGCGCAGCACGAGAAGCAAGCTGAACTATTAAAGGAGACCAGCATGAAGTCGAAATAATGGTCAGTCTAAGGGAAATAGAGTCTGTGGAATCCGGCAACCCAGCCCCCGAGACCTGGAGTATGGAACTACACAAAGCCTCAGAAGGATAAGATCGGAGCGCGTCAGTGGTAGCAACTAAACCCGCTTGGCAACCATCACCCGGTATCTCCCGTCTGTATAATCAGTAATACACCAGACCGTTTATTGCACATGCGTGCACGCGTATACCTGTCCTTTATCCT